TGCCCGTTGCTGGTTGGCTAACTAGCAACAGGGTCTTGCCAGCCAATGGAATTGTGTGATTACAAGCCAGGGGAATCCCATAAAAGAGGGCTCCCCTGGCCCAGAGAGCCAGTCCGGATTTACTTTATGCCTTGCCAATAAACCAAGAGCTGACTGTCACTCGACTCGTGTCTTACTGCCTGCGCGATCTAACAGTTATTAGTTGCGAAGTCGTGTCCGACCCATCGCGACCCCATGGACCACATTCCTTCAGGCCTTCCTGTCCTCTACCATCTTCGGGAGTCCATTTAAGCTCCTGAAGTTGAAACTCAAGTCCTCTGGCCACCTAATGAGAAGGAAGGAGTCACTGGAGAGGGGCCTAATGCTGGGAAAGATGGAGGGCAAGAGAAGAAGGGGACGACAGAGAATGAGGTGGCTGGATGGAGTCACTGAAGTAGGAGGCGTGAGCTTCAATGGACTCCGGAAGATGGTAGAGGACAGGAAGGCCTGGAGGAACGTTGTCCATGGGGTCGCGATGGGTCGGACACGACTTCACAACTAACAACAACAACAACAGACCCCTTTCTCCACGACTGTAAGACTTGGCGGCAAACTTTAAGCAAAGCTTTTTAAAAATTCAGGTGTTCAGAGTCAAGTGGGCACCTCCAACGCATGCCCATTGGCACCCTCAAAGCAACCCTTGATATTTGACAGGGCAGGATTTTCTTTTGAGGAAGCCAGGCTAATATCCTTTCCCCTTGATCACCATTTCTATCCATCTGCCTAGAACAGGCATTCAGCTGACCAGCCCATCGTTTTCTGCCTCTCCCTTGGGTTTCTTTTAAAAAAACAACAGTTCAGCTGAACTGTCAAAACGGCAGCGGGTGCGAGGAGGTATTGCAAACAACCCTGCTTGGATTGGATTACATGGAGGAATGTTCTGCCTGGTATTTGGTCCATGAGAGAGAGAGAGAGAGAGAGAGAGAGAGAGAGAGAGAGACCCTCCCTCGGGCAGACAACTGCCAAATTCCCCAACACCCTCGTGCAAATTAGTTTATTATGGCGAGGGGGGAAAAGGGGGTCAAGGAAGCTTGGGAAAAATGGTTAGTGTGATCCAACCTCATGTGTCTGGCAGCAGAAGGAATTGAAAGCATTTCCCTGGAACACCATCAAGGGACCAAATTATTCTCTATAAGTAGCCCGCTAATGCTTGACTTTAAATATTACGCTCTAGAGGGGAAGATCACCAATCTAACCATAACACAGAATGAAACGTTTGGAGCTGATATCTAACAGCCAGAACAAAAGAGAGGATTACAAGGCAGGATGGAAACATTTGGGTATAACTACAAACACAGATGAGCCTTTTGGAAGTATAAAATAAAATAAAAGATTCTTGTCGTGTAGTAGTTACTGTATATCAGCCCATGACTGCTCTTGAGAAGGCCAGATCCTGAAGTTGAAACTCAAGTCCTTTGGCCACCTAATGAGAAGGAAGGACTCCCTGGAGAAGAGCCTAATGCTGGGAAAGATGGAGGGCAATAGAAGAAGGGGACGACAGAGAATGAGGTGGCTGGATGGAGTCACTGAAGCAGTAGGCGTGAGCTTAAATAGACTCCAGAAGATGGCAGAGGACAGGAAGGCCTGGAGGAATGTTGTCCATGGGGTTGTGGTGGGTCGGACACGACTTCGCAACTAGCAACAACAACAAATCTAGGTAAAGAGCTCAATCAATGAGAATCACAATTGCTAAACAGGGCCTCCACCTATAAATTCAACACACCTCTCAATAATCTCTTTGTGAGGACTCAGAATTCAGCTCCCCGCTTGCTCGTGGAGACAATTGGCCAGGATGTCCTTTGGCCTGCCCCAGAAAATTAATTTTTATATTCCCAGGGTTGCAATGTAAGAGAAGCATTATAAATTACTCAGGCAACGTAAAAAGTTACATGAGAAATGAATATGCATGGACACACGGACTTTAAAAAAATGTGCACACAACTGAAACTCTTGTAAGAGTTTCACGGGGATGGGGATGGACCTGATCTTCAGCGCACCAGGTTCTTGGGGAAATGATCCCCAAATGGGGTGGGGTTGCCACAATGGAAGCCTCGCAAGATACCCTTAGGATGAAGAAGACCAGCGTGTGGGTCTTCAGTGGGAGCTGAAGGCCAGCTGGGAGTAGAACTTGAGTGTCTCGGGACTTCCAGCTATATGGCCCAACTCCATTCACCCTTATGCAGCTTGATTATATTACAAGAGAAACACAAACAACTCTGCAATGTTGTCCATCTCTTTCTTCCTGAACCCACAATAATGTCTTAATTGCTCTAGAACACGGGTGTCAAGCTCAATTTCATTGAGGGCTGCATCAGCATTGCAGTTGCCCTCGGGGGGCCGGGGGTGTGTGGCCAGGGTGAGTGCAGCCTACTGAGTGGGCATGGATGGAGTGGGTGTGGCCTACTGGGTGGGTGTGGCCAGCTCTACATCGTTTGCATCAAGGGTGCTTGTGGGGGCCTGGGCAAGAGTGGGACAGATCTGAGGGTCTCTGGCAGAAGGGGGTGGGACCGGGGCAAGTGCCAAGGCATGGTCCACTGGAGGAGCCTCACTGTTCCTCTCAGGCCATGCGTGGGGGGCTGGATGGTGGCATGGGCTGCCCGAAGCCCTGGGCAGCAGAGGTCAAACGCCAAGATGGCCTTGTGGAGCAAAGACTGAATGCGTTTCAGCATAGATGGCCACCACAAAATTGTACATTGGCTCCTGGGTGGCCTGGGCCAGGGCCAAGGCAGCGGGGGCCGTTCTCTCACTGTTTCCAGGATGGCTTCACGGGCCGCATCCGGCCCCCGGGCCTTGTGTTTGACATGTCTGCTCTAGAAGAAGCTGAGGCAGGCAAGAGAGAAGCAAGTCAAGGAACCACAGCGAAAGAGGTGAGATTCGTGGCTTCCAACTTTGTAGTATTTCGGGAGCCCAAGTGAGCAACACGTTCTTTATTGTATTTAGTCAAATGACAAAATGGGGCAAGGGAAAAAAAAAAGCAGGGTTGTTACTTGCTTGGAAAAGTTTCTTCTCTTCTGTTGACTTGCAGAGCGATGAACAGGAGGCCTTGATCAATTTCCCTTATTTGCACGTGCTTTCCCTAGGAAAGAAATAGAAGAAATGGTGAGAAAAACATCCTGGGGGTTTTGCAAGCACAGAACATGTGGTTGGGGCAGGTTGGAGGGGCTCTGGAATCAAATTGGACACGCTGAAAAGTGTCCTATAATCGGTCAATCTCTGCAGTTAGACAGGTTCTTGAGACCTTCAGCAAGGCAGACATCAGAAAAAGCTTTGCCCCAGCCAAGTTCCAGGTCAGCCAACACAGTGCTAGGCGGCATTAACAGAGGGATAGAATCAAGATCACGTGAAGTGTTAATACCACTTTACAATGCCTTGGTAAGGCCACACTTGGAATACCGCATCCAGTTTTGGTCACTACGATGTAAAAAAGATGTTGAGACTCTAGAAAGAGTACAGAGAAGAGCAACAAAGATGGTCAGGGGACTGGGGGCTAAAACATATAAGGAACAGTTGCTGGAATTGGGAATGTCTAGTTTAATGAAGAGAAGGACGAGGGGGGACATGATAGCAGTGTTCCAATATCTCAGGGGCTGCCCCAAAGAAGAGGGAGTCAAGCTATTCTCCAAAGCGCCTGAAGGCAGGACGAGAAGCAACAGGTGGAAACTAATCAAGGAGAAAAGCAAGCTGGAATTAAGGAGAAACTTCCTGACAGTGAGAACAATTAACCAGTGGAACAACCTGCCTCCAGAAGCGGTGAATGCTCCAACACTGGAAGTTTTTAAGAAGAAACTGGACAGCCATTTGTCTGAAATGGTATATAGGGTTTCCTGCCTGAGCAGGGGGTTGGACTCGGTGACCTCCAAGGTCCCTTCCAACTTTATTATTATTATTATTATTATTATTATTATTATTATTATTATTATTATTATTATTATTATTATTATTATTATTATTATTATTATTACTACTACTACTACTACTACTATTACTATTACTACTACTACTACTATTATTACTATTATTATTATTATTATTATTATTATTATTATTATTATTATTATTATTATTATTATTATTATTATATCACTCAGAGAAGCTCAAAGCATTTTCTGAGCATCTGAGATTTTGCTGAGACAATCAGCAAAATTGAGGAACATTTAAACAAAAGGATTATTGATTAGACATGCTAATGTAAGATAGATTGACAGAGCCTGATGGTCAGTAGGCCTCTTCATTGTGCTTTACACGACCATTTTATTTTCCTGAACTAACAAAAGGTGCTGCGTATTATTTTTAAATTATTCTAGCTGCTTTGAAAATTTCCTCTTCATCATCCAATTTATTCAAACCACCGTTTTCATCCACGCCATTGTTTTTGAGGCTCAAATACAGACAACTCAGACCCTACCCAGAACAGTCTAAGCTCCCCCCAGTTCCAGGAAGAGCATTGTGATGAGAAGCGTGGATGCGCTTGGGAAGGAGGAAAAGAAATATCCAAATGATTTGGATATTATGGAATTTCTTTATGAAGACTTATTCCGCAAATACTGTGCCAAACCAGATTTTTTCCCCTCCTTTGGCCCTGCATTTTATTTCTGTTTCGTAAATAAAGAACATTGCATGTGTCTTCTCCTTGGTTTGATGAGCAACAGCGTCCATCAGCAACAGAATTGCTTTTATTTGTTGCCATGTTTACTTTCATCTGGATGCTCTCCAGAGCGCTGTCCAATTAATTCTGTGCAAGAATGGACACTTTCAAAGTATAGGATGGTTCCTCCTCCTCCTCCTCCTCCTCCTCCATTTGGATTACTACACCAAACACGGAAGACTATGAAATTTATGAGCCAATGTACTTTCATTAGATTTTTCACTGACCGGTTTAACAGGGCTCCCACTGTACTTCCTTCTATACCTCACCCCTCCACCCCAAAGAATTTGGTCAAAGGCCACCATTTGCCAAACCCATTTTCCTTCTCTTTGTGAAGTAGAACCCATCTCAGGCTAGTTTTCGATCCACCAAATAAGTCACATGACCGCTGAAGTAAAGACAAGGATAGAGAAAGCTCGAACAGCATTCTTCAGAATGAAAAAGATCTTCTGCAGTCACGACATAAGCCTAAGATTGAAAACCAGGCTTGTCAGATGTTATATTTTTTCTATCCTGCTCTATGGAGTAGAGAGTTGGTCCCTGACAGAAGGCCACTTGAAGAGACTAGAAGCCTTTGAAATGTGGATTTATAGGCGGCTGTTACGTATAAGCTGGGTTGACAAGATCAGAAATGAGGAGGTGATAAGCCGCCTGGGAAAGCCCAGGGAAATCATCAAAACGATTAAAAAACGAAAATTAGAATATTTCGGACATGTGATGCGACACCAAGAAAAATACTCCATTGAATCCTCCAGGGAAAGATTGAAGGCAAACGAGGTCCAGGCAGAAGAAGAACATCGTGGCTTCCAAATCTAAGGGACTGGTTTGGACAAAACTCAGCAGCACTTTTTTGTGCGGCCGCTGATAAAAACAGGATCGCCAACATGATCGCCATCGTCCGATAACGGATATGGCACAAGAAGAAGAAGAACTCACGGAAACTCAGTCTCCATGAGGGGGAGCATTCTGATCATTCAGCATGGGAACAAGCAGAGTCCCCGATGCCCTGATCCCCAGACAATGTCTCCTGTTCCTCTCTCCATGCAGGGGTTCAGGCAGGTTTGGGTAGCTTGAGATGAGCAGAAGAATTCACAGAAAGGAGATAAACCTTTAACAACCGTTTGCTTACTGTCCCTACAATATAGAAACTCACACCTGAGTCCTTCAACATCTCCCACCAACCTACATGGAAGGAGAAGCTTCACAGATCTTGTTCTGTATCCAGCAAGGAGGCTGTTGCTGGATATTACTTGATACAGGCAGATGAACTCCACAGAAAGGCTTCATGCAGAATCAGGCATTCTCCAAACATTAACTTACAGTTACTGCAGAGATTCTTCTGAAACACAGGTCATAATCTGGACCCAACACGTAGGTTAAAAAAAGCAAACAGATCTCGTGGCTGAAATTCATAAAGACCTCGCTGGCTGGCACGTAGCCAGGAAATCCGGTACCTAATCAGAAGTCCCTCCCAATGACCAGTCCGATCACAGATATGACAGACTTGAACACTGGGCACTATATCTAACAAAATGAAATTCAATGGTGGAAAAAGCAAGGTTCTACATTTAGGCAAGAAAAACCAAATGCACAGGTATAGTATAGGGGGTACCTTGCTCAATAGTAGCAACTGTGAGAGGGACCTCGGAGTCCTAGTGGACAATCACTTAAATAGGAGCCAGCCGTGTGCTGCAGCTGCCAAAAAAGCCAACACAATGCTGGGCTGCATTAACAGAGGGATAGAATCAAGATCACGTGAAGTCTTAATACACACTTTACAAGGCCTTGGTAAGGCCACACTTGGAATACGGCATCCAGTTTTGGTTACCACGATGTAAAAAAGATGTTGAGACTCTAGAAAGTGTACAGAGAAGAGCAACAAAGATGATTAGGGGACTGGAGGCTAAACCATATAAGGAACGGTTGCTGGAATTGGGTATGTCTAGTTTAATGAAGAGAAGGACGAGGGGGGACATGATAGCAGCCTTCCAATATCTCCGGGGCTGCCCCAAAGAAGAGGGAGTCCAGCTATTCTCCAAAGCGCCTGAAGGCAGGACAAGAAGCAACGGGTGAAAGCTAACCAAAGAGAGAAGCAACCTAGAACTAAGGAGAAACTTCCTGACAGTTAGAACAATTAACCAGTGGAACAACCTGCCTCCAGAAGCGGTGAATGCTCCAACACTGAAAGTATTTAAGAAGAGACTGGACAGCCATTTGTCCGAAATGGTGTAGGGTTTCCTGCCTGAGCAGTGGGTTGGACTAGATGACCTCCAAGGTTCCTTCCAACTTTATTATTATTATTATGACCAGGTAACTTAAACTACATTACCCAGAAGGCTATCCCTTAAGGGGACAGTTCTTAATTCCTAAGATAGCTATATACTCTGACCAGCACAGATCTGATATAGATTAGCTTAGAAAAGAGGTATGAAAATTAGGGATTGTTTTAAAGGAGTGCTCACGGCTCTCCTAGCTTTCAAGATCTTGCTATCCGGTCCAGCTCTAGAGAGAGAAAAATGGATCGATTCCCAGTTGTGTGTGTGGGGGTGTCCTGCCTAAATTATGCTTCCCTTCAGTGGTGGGATTCAAATATGCGAACAACCGGTTCTCTGCGTGGATGCCGCTTCCGGAAGTCTGTTCTGGGCCTGGCCCACAAATAATTAGCTCCCGATTCTGCCGAAGTGGTGCAAATCCCACCACTGCTTCCTTTACCGACAAAACCCAAAGGATTGCTCTGCGTAAAATCCTACCTTCGGTCCGCTGTTCTGATGGCTTCAGGCTTTCTTCAGCTTCTCTATTCTTGCTGAATAAGTGTCTTCTTGAAGTTGGAGCTTCTCGTAGATCTCAGACTACGAAGAAGAGGGTTTATCAATTCTGTAATCTTCGGTCTCTTTTATCTCGCTCGCGTTACATCCAAAACATACTACCGACTGTATGGTGTTTAGCTGGCCTTGGTTAGCCCACAGGTTGCTCTCCCTCTTTGGAAGAAGGGCAAGGCTATAAAAAACCCTGCAGCTTCAGTGGGGCAGGACAGTCCCCCCCCCCATCAACTCTCTTCTTCTGCGGCCATCCAAGCTCTTTTTGCCCCAACTCTGAGTAGGCTCAGCTCTCTTTCAACTGCAGGAGCGCAAATGCCTCCCGGCTTCCCGGTGTTTCAACAACTCAACCTGTGCTTGCAGAACATGGGTCATCTTCCTGGGAGGGTGTGTATGTGTGTGTGTGTGAGGCAGATGGCCTGACCTCCCTGAAATGGAGATTGTACAGATATGTTGGATAACATTCCTGTCTTCCTTGCCCAGCACACAGTTGCCAGAGCCTCGCTCCAATAGATCTGAAGTCATCAAGCTGGGAAGGCTGATATTGTTCAATATATTACAGCAGGGGTGTCAAACTCAATTTCATTGAGGGCCATATCAGCATTGTGGTTGCCCTCGGGGGGGGGTGTGTGGGTGTGTGTAGCCAGGGTGGGTGCGGCCTACTGGGTGGGCGTGGACGGAGTGGGTGTGGCCTATTGGGTGGGCATGGCCAGCTCTACATTGTTCGCGTCAAGGGTGCCTGTGGGGGCCTGGGCAGGAGTGGGACAGATCTGAGGGTCTCTGGCAGAAGGGGGTGGGACCAGGGCAAGGGCCAAGGCATGGTCCATTTCTTCATTCCTCACAAAGGGTGACACCTCCCCAGCATGCACCCAGGGGGTGGGACCGACACGGCAGGGGCTGGTTCCTCGCTGTTTCTAGACGGCCTTGTGGAGCTAAGACTGAATGTGTTTCAGCATAGATGGCCACCACAAAAATTGTACATTGGCTCCCGGACGGCCTGGGCAAGGGTCAAGGCAGTGGGGGCCGTTCCTTCACTATTTCCAGGATGGCTTCGCGGGCTACATGAAACCACTTCGTGGGCCACATCCGGCTCCCGGGCCTTGTGTTTGACATGTCTGTACTACAGGCTAACTGTGTTCTCTTTCCTTTGCTGTGGAGTTTCGTTTTGTGGAGGGGAAAAAAAAAACTATGGCCTTCTGAAGACCCAGCTGGAAACTCCAGGGGAAAAAAAGCGAGTTAAGTGCTGGTCTCTTTTAACTAAAGCTTCATTGCTAGTAAACATCCTAGAAAGAAGGATCAGAATGCAAAATTTCGCTGCGACGTTCACAGAGGGGTCAACCAAGCTAACAGGCTGGGTTGCCCCGAGCTCCGTAGCCTAGGGCTGCGCAGGCAGAGAAGGGCATCTGGGGTGGGGAGAAGGTGGCTTCTGGCCTCAGGAAAGGGGGGGCTCTCCAATTCCCCACTTGCAAACTATCTAGACACCTGGCTGCCCTCCGGAATCCATCCGTCCCTGCCAGGAGTTACACAGCTGCCTAATTCAAAGGCGGAGGAAAACTGCAAAAAGCACGCCCATTAAGGAAAAACGATGAACAACTTCACGTTTCCTTCGGAGGAATGTGCCCAAGCCCACAAATTGTCCTGTAAGCTTCGCAAATGTTCTTGAACTTCTGCGCGGGAATAGGCTAAACCAGTGATGGCGAACCTTTTAGAGACCGAGTGCCTAAACTGCAACCCAAAACCCACTTATTTATCGCCGGGTGCCAGGTGGGCGTGGCCCACTGGGCGGGCATGGCTGTGGTGCTCATGGCAGATTGGGTGGGTATGGCCAAGGTGGGCATGATCACCTCGATGTTGCTCGTGGGGAGGAACGCCTGTGGGGGCCAGGCAGGGTTGAGGGAGATCCAGGGGGTCTCTGGCAGGTGGGGCGGTGGACAGGAGGCTCATCCTGCAGGGTGAGGCGAGCCAAGGTGAGGTAGGGCGGGGGTGCCATTGTCACAGGGCAAGGAGAGGCAGGGGCCGGGGCGGCTGCTGCCTGACACCATTGGCCCCTGCACACCGAGGCCAGCGAGCGCATGGGTGCTGGGATGCATCCGGCCATGTGGGACCTCAGCGAGTTAGCGGGTGGCTGGTTGAAGAGGGACGGTTGCCATCTCTGGGGCATGGCTCGCGTGCCCACAGAGAGGGCTCTGAGTGCCACCTCTGGCACCCGTGCCATAGGTTCGCCACCACTGGGCTAAACGGAATTTACAAATGGGAAATATGAGAAACTGCAAGAGAAGGCCTCTGCCCGTCCATCGTGGCAGGTTAACAAAGAGGAAGGCGACCCTTGCGCGGAACGTAAACTTTCCCAGGATTCTTTAGTGCCCCCCCCCTATTTAAATACTCTTAAACATTTCACCTCTCCCGAGTGGGAAAGGCTTTTCGGCACTCAGCTTTTCTTGTTTCATCTTTCTTCTCATATTTTTTTTTATTGTTCAACAGCTCAATTTGCAATAAAAGGCACAGTAAAAAAAAAAAAAAAGGGGGAACTAAACTGGCATTCCTTCCCGGCCGGAAGTGGTATTTTCACGGGGTTGTTACCAGGTCATTCCACATGGATTTCCAGATATCCATTGCCGCTCTGTGGCAATGGACCTAGGTATTTGCAAGACCGCCTCCTACCAAACACCTCCCTTCAGCCAGTCCGCTCCCACAGAGAGGGCCTCCTTAGAGTGCCGTCGGCCAGACAATGCCGGCTGGCGACCCCCAGGGGGAGAGCCTTCTCTGTGGCAGCTCCTGCCCTCTGGAATGACCTACCCCCCGACCTACGTACAGTTGCGGACCTGCGCCTTTTTCGCCGAGCCCTGAAGGCCCATCTATTCCGTGCGGCCGGCCTGGCGTAGCTTGATTATGTTTTAGTGGGGGTTTTGTATGGGGTACTTTTAGAGCAGGCCTGTTATTTAATTTGATTTTAGAACAGAAACTTGTGTATATTTATTGTGGTTTTATTATCGCCTGTTCACCGCCCTGAGTCCCGTAAGGGAGATAGGGCGGTATATAAATTCAATAAATAAATAAATAAATAAATAAATCCACAAGAGGTATATCAGAACAGCAAAAAATCTGCAAAGATGAAACGTTAATTGAACGGAAATGATCTTCGCTCCGACCGCTGACTGGTGGGGAGTCCCTAGGCAAGGACCCTGGCTTCAGAGGCACTGCACATGGAGCGGGAAGGCAGGGGAGACCCTCTGCTTTACCCCAATTTCTGTGCTTTCCCATTGGGGCCGTCCCCTCTGCTGGCTCACAGGAAGGAATAATCCGCAAAAGGCTCATTTGCTGCCTCGACTGCATACGAAACTGCACCGGAGAGGGCTTCCATGCTGATGCCGTTTCACAGGCATTTCCCCATATGGTCTGGGGGCAGGGGTAGGCAACCTTGGCTCTTTTAGGACTCGTGGACTTCAACTCCCAGAATTCCTGAGCCAGCCATGCTGAGGGGAAAGGGAGAGGTTTCCAAGCTGAGCCATGCTGGCTCAGGGATTCTGGGAGTTGAAGTCCACGCGTCATGAAGAGGCCAAAGGGGCCTACCCCTGGCATTAGGTGGAACCAACAGGCCCAAAATCCCTAGGGTGCTTCTGTGGCTAATGAGGGGGGGGTGTCTTTTCACTCCGCCCCAGACCTTGCTTATTAGGAAATCCCAGGGCTGTGGAATAGATGGTGTGTATATGGGGAGGAGGGAGAGAAAACATTTTGAGGAAAGCAACAGAAAGTAGCTACAGTAGACTTGCCTGGAAGCAGCCAGGTAGAAATACCCCAATAGGTAGGAGTAGAGATCGCATTGTATTCAGACAGTGGGGAGGGGGATGATGGGGACTGTAGTCTGACCCACCTGGAGAGGATTGGTCTACACCAGGGGTAGGCCACATTGGCTCTTTTATGAGACGTGGACTTCAACTCCCAGAATTCCTGAGCCAGCCATGCTGAGGGGAAAGAGAGAGGTTTCCAAGCTGAGCCATGCTGGCTCAGGAATTCTGGGAGTTGAAGTCCATGAGTCATAAAAGAGCCAAGGTTGCCTACCCCTGGTCTGGGGTAACGAAACTCATGTTTGGGACGAGCAGCACACCAGCCTCTGTTGTGGTCGGCCACGTTCAGTTCGTCCTAGCAAAGGGATCCATCCCATTGTGGGGCACAGCATGAAAGCAGAACGAAGTCAAGCTGCTTCTTTGTAACCCTACCTGGATGTTGGTGATGAGGTCGTTGGTGAGCTGGCCCAGGACCGAGCGAATGTCCTCCATGGTGTAGCCCATCAAAGGATCCACGGTCACTTGTTCTTCAGCTGGCTCTTCTGCAGGAATGCCTTCTGGTTCCTAAGAGAGGGCAGGCAAATGCTCGCCGAGCGAGCCGTCTCGTCACAAGGGTGAATGGCCGGCTAGAGCAGATGGAGCCACTCGTGTCCCCCCCTCCCCCAGCCACGGAAAGGGGAAGCTGAAGACCCCCAACTTTTCCCTGCCGAGATGCTCAGCCTTCTTTAGCGGGACAAGAGGGAATGCCTGATAGGGTTCCTTGCTGTCACTCATGGTAGGAAACCCTCTCAAATTCCTTGCCTTAGTCCAGTCTTTGGCAGAAGCAGGAAAGATGAGGGCTCTGTGTGTGTGTGTGAGAGAGAGAGAGAGAGGGAGAGAGGGAGAGGGGGAGAGGGGGAGAGAGAGAGGGAGGGAGGGAGAGAGAGAGAGG